ATAAAAATAAATATTTACAATAAAAAATAGGGGTTTTTTTTTAAGGTCCCTAGTATTAAGATTTTATAGGATAAAGAACATTCAATATTTTAATAATGTCTAAGGTCCCTCAAGTTAATCTAGAGAAAATTTACGTCACAGAGAAAATCGGTCCAAATTTCTCTAACTTTCCCTGATCTTCTCACTGTAAATTTCTCTGTCCTCCCCTTCTCCAAATTTCTCTACTTTCCATATACTTCCCACTCTCCCAGAGAAATTTCTCTGCATTTCCACAAATTACATCTCCAGATAAATTTTAAATTTCTCTGCCTTCCCTACTTCTCCTGGACTCAACACTCCAGAGAAATTTGAAAATTTCTCTGACTTCACCGGCCTTCAATTGGTCAAAATGAATCCAGAGAAATTTAATTTCTCTGACTTCACCGGCCTTTAATTGGTCAAAATGAATCAAGAGAAATTTGAAAACCCAGAAGAAATTGGTCAAAATGAACTCAGAGAAATTTGAATTTTCTCTAGGTTTGAGTGAAGAAGCTATAAAGATTTGAAATTTGAAATAAAAAAGTGAAATAGTTGTATGGAAATTTGTCGCTCTGTCCTGAAACACCTTTTCAACTTGTGGAAACAACTTGTGATCAACCCAGGGAAAATTTCTTCTAGCCCAAAGAAATAATATTGTGGATCAGAGAAAATTCCTACTACAAATCCATATATCAACTAAACATTGTAACTTTAACTTTGGATGTCCAATAACAAGCATTTTGTGGTAAACTCAAAACAACAGGACAATAACAGTCATGGAAGCACATTATATGTGCACAATGTTGATTTTGATACATTTAGGGATCCTTGCATTTTATGTACGGTGCAACACAGTACAATAATTAACTTACCATATCCTTCCATGGAGATGGTTTGCAGGTCCTTCCATATAGATGGTTTGCAAGGAGTTCTTAACCAACTCAAAAACCATCATATGTAAGTGTGTTGGAACATACCTGCTATGAAAGCAAATAAAGTCAATGTTAGATCTGACTGTGGAGCTGTTGCAAGAGTCGGGTTGGGAGGAATTGAGAAAGGAGGCTCGCAAGATCAAGGAAGATCTAATTGTGACAACCCTCACCTCTGAATAGTGCTAATCCGTGATTAAGCATGATAAGTAACTGATTAGAATGAAATCCTGAATTGATTGTAAGAGTGTATTGTTTTAAATGCATTTCTATCTGTTTGATTTCTAAATGAATCTGTTTATGTTTTAATTTCGAACTGCAAATTGAAGACCTTATCGGCGGCCGAATCAGAAACTGATTAGTGTTTTGTGCTAATTAGAATTTATGTGATTTTATGGTAGGTTTAATTAAAATCCGATTTGGAATGATTAAATTAGATTGAATAATGTTAAATTACATTAGATTGTGTTATTACCAAATTGCCATTGAGTGGCCATTTTCTACAACATTGTTTGGCACCTTTATACATCATTTTTTCAGCCACTTTCTTAGACTAAATCAAGGGAGAGTAGAAGAAATTGAGTTCATCAAGAGTTTAGCTTGGAGACTTAGAAGATTTGAGGAGAATTTGCAAAATTGAGCTTATATACTTTGAATTCCAGACCTAAGGTAGAGACTCCATCCTCTCATTTGTACATTTGAGTTATTCTTGCATGGTTCATGGGATTAAGGGAGGTTAGAGTCAAGTATTGGTTTAAAGCGTTGAATTGAGGCTTAATCCATGCATACATGTACATATTTTTGAATTTTGAGGTTATTCTTCATGAATTTCCACATGCATGTTCATGTTTATGTTATAGTCTATGAATTCACCATAGTTTTGAGCTTAATCTTGCATTTGATCAAGTTTTAGAACACTAGAGTTCATAAGAGTTCATGCATGTTATGTTTTTACATAATTCATGAAAAACTTCTTTGAAATGGTGTTCAATTGACTTACCTATGGGCTTTGATTTTACAAATTGATCTTTGAAACATGTTGTATTATGAGTTTTCAAGTGTTTTCCAGAAAATTAGCCCAATGGGATCGAATTTGAAGCTTTAAAAATTGAATTTCATAATTGAGGTTCAATCTGGAAATTCTAAATTTTGGACCTACGCTCGAGCGTAGGACTTCACGTTCGAGTGTGCACTTTGAGTACATGCACTTCCGCTCGAGCGTGAAATACATGTGCCCAGAAGTTCATGTGTTTTACAGTCCGCTCGAGCGAGAAAGTTCACGCTCGAGCGATGACCCGAGTCTCACGCTCGAGCGGAGGTCGAGCGTGAATTGCATGCATCCATTACTTTTCACGAAGTTTACAGTCCGCTCGAGCGTAGGAAGTCACGCTCGAGCGGAGCTCCTTTTTCTTCATGTCCGCTCAAGCGTAGAAGCCACGCTCGAGCGTGGACACCTGTTTCAACAAATTTTGAAAAGTATTTTACAGTGTATTCTTGCATCCTCTTTCCATCATAGGCATTCCTAGGCCATGTTTAAGGCATCTTAATGAGGATATTGATGTAGAACCACACCGAGTCAAGATAGGGACTAAGTTGTTGATTCCCAAGTGTGTAACTTAGCGTGTGTTCGTTCTGTAACTGTGTAGAGTTGGCACTCGAGGACGCCCACCAGCTGCTTATAGCCCAGTGCTCTGTGAGTAACCATGTTGTAAAGATATGTTCAATTATGATTATTTTCTGAATGATCAACTGTTTTGCTTACTGAAACGTCATTGTTTAATGAATGAATGTTCGTCCTATTTGTAAATTGTATTCGTGGCATCCATAGCAATTTACTGTTACTGTACTGTTACTGCTACTGACATAGAGATCTCTGTCGGTTCCTATGTTTGAAACCACTACTGTTACTGTTATGATGACCATCAACTGACTGTTCGGTCTGTTAAGACCTACTGTACTGTTTTGCTATGGGATGTACCATATATAACTGCTATGGTTTATAAGTGGCTGATATGACTGTTTAATTACTAAAAGGACATTATTTCTTAACCTCTTTACATAACTGTTATTCACTGGGTTTTAGCTCACTGTTTTATATATATATGTAGGTGTCCAGGCATCAGACTGGAGATAGGAGCGCCGGGTTAGCTCTTGTTTTATCAAGCCAACCTCTGTGTCTCACCTCGAGGTTCCTAGTTCGTTCAAGCTACGGTTGTTTTGGGGTGTTCGGATTCACCCTTCTGTTTCTGTTTGTAATAGATGTTATAGACTCCTACTGTACAGTTATGGCATAGGGATTGAATCCCTAACTTGTATGTATGTGTATCTGGTATGTAAATGTGTTTTGGTTACGAATGTGACTTGTTCATAAAAGTCTTTTTGCATTCAGAATGTCACAGCTCATTGGATATCTTTATTTACTGTTTTGGCTTCCGCCAGCCCTTTTACTCTGTATTACTGTCATTACTGTTAAGCAGACCTTTGGTATTTACGGATTACTGGCCAGTTACGATACCTAACCCATAGGGGCAGGTTTGGGTCGTGACACTAATGTGGGTTAGAACCCGATTAATCTGAGCCAGGCTTCAAATATTAGTAATGCAATAAGCCAACAACTTTGTTCTTGGGCACTGACACAACAACAAGCATAAATGATGGCAGCAAAGCTTATGATAACACATAGCATATCGAATGTGTTGGGTGGGCCTCAATCGACTATTAACGGAATTTCATGAGCCAGATAGATGCAACAAGAAGATGTGAGGATTCAAGATCTGCTACGAACTCAGATCGGCTTCACCACGCTCCGCCGGCGCCGGTCGTCAATGATGCTAATGAGAGAGAATAAAAAGAAACACAGTTGAGGGAGAGAAGAGACACAACAGATAAAGAGAGAGAGAGATTCGATAATGGAGAAGTTGGTAGAGAGAAAAGTCAAATTTCTCTGTGATATATAGGTGTGGAGGTTGAAGGACCTTGGACATTATAAAATAATATTGTGAATTTCTTTCATTACTAAAAATAGAAGAGAGATCCTAGACTAATTTTTCCTAAAAAATATTTATCCTTAAAAAATAAAATGAAGAATTTTTTTAAATATTAAAATATATAAACTCAAACCTCAAAACCAAACAATTTTTTTCTTTTCAAAATTCAAATCATGATTCAAAAATTAAACCAAACAGAGCTTTAATTGCTTTTTCCCTCTATGTAATTCTTTTATAAATTTTGTTAGCTTATCAAAGTGATTTTAGGTTAAATCACGTTGTTTAATGCTTTAGAAAGGTACTAGGGGCAATATTGTCCATCAGGAATAATTCCTAATGTTTACTTAACAACATGAGATAAATTGTTATGTAAATATAAATTTGGGCGATTAAGGGAATCTATAATTTAGCTAAAGCTTAAGGCCATGTTTTTTTATCGGCGACGTGGAAGGGGGATTGGAGTGCTATGGTTGTGGGTCTCACCCAAAGCTTGGTGATGATTTGGGAGAGAGAATAATAGTTCGAGGGGCTTACTAATCCCTCTCAGTAGGGGGATTAGTTTGGCTTGATTTTGGATGGAATTAAATAAATAATGAACGGATTCAGTCTATTTTATATAATTTTTTTTTATACAAAGTACACATGTTTATTTTAATATTTGTTTTATTTTTTTAACATAAAATATATAAAAATAATTTAATAATCTCATTACTAATTATCTCCCACGCTATCTTATAACAAACGCATTTTTATTTAATCCTTTAACTAATAATTTCTGGTAGTACTACATGCACCAATTTATGTATCAACTATTATCATGTCATTATTAATGATCTTATTTATTATACAAATTACAAATACTTAAAATTTTTAAAATTATATCACATCATCTATTAATATACTAATTAATATATTAATTAATATTTATAATATTATTTATAATTCTCATATTAACAACTTCTTCATTAACTATTTTCTGGCTAATAATTTTATACAACGTAATCCGTCAAATAAACATGGGCAAGAGGTGTAGGTAATGTACCCTAAAAACACAAAAAAGGGGAAATCGTGTGGGGGATTCGGAAAGAAGGGAACTAGTAAGTGGGTTGGTGGGTGGGAATTAGAGGGGTTTTGTATGGGAATTTGAGATTGAGAGAGAGAGAGAGAGAGAGAGGCACACAGAGAGAAGAGAGAGAGATGTCTAATAGCGAAAGGGTTCCTGTTGAGCTCTGTAAGGGCGTCAATGGCCTCGACAAGGTCGTCCTCCGTGAGGTTCGCGGCAGTTCTGCTGAAGTAATCTCTCTCTCTCTCTCTCTATATATATACACACACACACACACACACATGCGCCATGGATTCAGCTTGATTTCGGTTACGACTCTCTCCGTCTCTGCGATTCTGTTATCATTTTCTATGAATCTGTTGGTTTCTGTGCAATACATGGTGTGATCTGATTCTAGGTATGGTGTTTGTTGTCTCTGTCGACTGTCTTGCCCTTACCATTTCTTGAAATTCGTGGTTCATGCGTGAATTTTCCTTCGAGAGTTGAATTTCGTGATAAAATTGATTCTCGATATTGCCTTTATCGTGGACATTTGGTAATTGATTGTTGATTCTGAATCTAATGAGATATTTATCTGAATCTTGAATTATTCTCTATTCATTATATATATACATGTATTGCATATATAATTCAGATGAAAGCAGATCTTCATGTGGAATTTAGAAGTAAGACAATATCTGTTGTTAATAAGGGTTTGAGGTGGTTTATGCCTTCTTTAGGTACCATTTTGTTTCTGAACTCCATGAATCTGTTAAAAATAATTTATATATTTTTGTATTGCATATATACACATCATAGATAATAATTAAATGAAGGGTGGCTCTCTTGGTTTTTGGAATAATTGTGAAATCTCTTCTCTTTTGTTGAGTTTGGTTCACCTAGAAATCACGTTGCAATGTTTTCATTGGTGATATCCTCACCACCTTGCCTTGTTTCCTGGAGCAGATCCTAGTAAATAGATTACGACTTGTCTTTGCCTTCCTAGTAAATGGTAATATGTATCTGGGGGTAATTCACAGTGACAAGGCAAATCACACAGGCTTCAAGGTTATAATTCAATTGGACTTTAAACACTTCAAGTGCAAAATGGCGGAAAACATTGGCTTACACAAATTTTATAAGTTCTTTTTGTTTTTTGGATAGGTACTATTTTATTTATTTATTTTTCAATACAACAAGAACGACAGATATAAACTGCCTATGGGGAGGAGGAGGGGCATGCCTGGAGTTGAACCCCAGCTATGACACGGGATTCAAAGCGGCTAACCAACAGGCACGCCAGTCTTCTCATATATATCCTTTAGAAGTGTTGAGGATACTTATGTTACAAAATGTTTGAAGTTGATGAAGCCATTTAAAATGTAGAGTGTCTGCCTAAAAGTAGAAAATAAACAAAAGAAACTGCATATTCCATTTCTTTAAGTTCCATACATCAAATTTCAGTAGTCACTGCCAATGAAAAAAAGAACTGAATACGTTGGTTCTTTTCTAGTGGTTATTGTTCTTTATATGTTTTTTTGTTGGAGGAAAAAGATCTATATTGATTAGTTGCTTAGAAATTTATTTATTTTTCTATTTCTAGAGTATGGTATGATCAATTCAAGTATCCTCTCCAACTTTTTGGGGCTGGCTACAATGTTCTGTTGCTTACCTATTTTTTCATGAGAGATTAGTGAGGATTCACCTTCTTATCGGTACTGATTTGATTGTCACTTAATTTAACGTTGTCACTGATTTGAGATCCACATAATTTATGTGTCGCTTGGTTTACATGGATTATGCTTCAGCTATTAGTTATAAATTTTCATAGATTTTGGTATAATATTTATAATAGGAAAGAGGTAAAAAGTAATGAACTTATTGAAATGTGTAGACAGATTATCTTGGGACTTGTCTAAAATTGGAGGTAGGTTTAAAAGATAGGTCATTTGCTAAATTAGAAATAAAAGATAAATGAGGTGTATATTTTTGTGATTGGGACACAATGGTTAGTTTGGTTTAGGTGCACATTTTCTTGGAAATTTCACTTGTTAATTTAGTGAAGGAAACATTTGCTTTGTTGAGTAGTAAAAGTTTGGCTGCCAAGTGTCAAATGTGGGTATGATTAAGAAAGGCAACCACTTCATAAAACTTAAGCCAAAAGATTAGTTTTTTGTGGGTCTTACCTCTCACAGTGCCCTTGATCAAGGGAGGCCATAAGTGGGGAATGACTTTTTTGTACTCCCTTCATTTAGTCTCAATATAAGTATATTTATGTTCAAGTATGCTCGTGTGCCATGAACAGAATATTGAACTAGCTAGTATGCTATGAACAAACATGTTGACTTACTTTTGGTTATGCTAAGTCTTTATTTAAACGTTCAAGTAATAAAGATACTTCTCCATTCGGTTATAAAAATTAAATAAAAGATTCTTTACCAATTAGTTGACAGAAAAAGAAATTGTCTCCATCAATCAACTGTTTCAATGTTCACAGAGGTGCCAGGGGAAAAATGTTTTGGCAATCATGTGTTATGTCCTTATGTGTTAGATGACTAATAATTGAAGGTTGAGTCAACTAGTCCATCCCAGCTGAAAATTTATTGAAAGATTGAAGGTTAGGCTGGTTTGATGTGTCCAATGGGACAAAATATACCTAACTTGATCTACTTTTTGCTTTCTTTAAAATGAGCATGTTAACATTTATTTATTTAAAAAATTTTCTTTCCTTGCCTAGTCAGTGTTTTATGTATAAAATATTACAAAATAGGTTAGATGGAGTTACACAACTTTCTGTTTGTTCTGGACTTAAGTTACTTCTTGCCAAATGAAAATATGAAATTGCAGTTTGCAAGGTGTGCATAATTCATGTTGTTTGCAGTAAACTTATCCTGTTGCACAGGTGTATCTTTACGGAGGTCATGTGACATCTTGGAAGAATGATCATGGAGAGGAGTTGCTTTTTGTCAGTAGTAAGGTACTTTGCATTTCAATTAATATTCAGTGGATTAATTTACTGCAAATTGCCTTTTCTACCAAAGACCAATGCTATCAATTTCATTTTTCTTCACATTAATATTCTGATTCTAATTCTCTATAACCATAAGTTTTTGTGGACAACACTAATTTTTGTGCCCCAAACCACATAGCTGTGGATTCTGGTTGAATAAAGAAAAATTCATCATTTTTTGAATCTTGACCATAGCCTGTTAAATTTGTGACATATTTCTCACATGCCATTTGGAAGAGGGAACATTCTCAGTTTTTTTCATGGTTCAGAAAGTGTAGAGTGATGGGCTGGGGCTAATTTTCTTAGCCAATCATATGAACTTACCAGAGTGATCAGAATGCTAAGAATTTTCTGGCAACAAAAGACATTTGAGAGTGAGGTATGGGAGTTAATTAGGAGGATATTGGATGGTAAGTTTGATCAAGTCATGATTTTCTAATTATTGATTGGCTAGAGTAGGTGTAGGATGCTCAAAACAATGGTTCTAATACCATTATAAGCTAGAAATGTTTTGGCCTAAAAGAAAGAGGTGTAGTTTTTGGGTCAAATTAGTTACTGAGATTGGAGTCTTTCCTATTCTTATTTATTATTTTATTTACATGGCTGCAACTCTGATGGGTGTGGTAGGGTTGGGGGTTTATCAAGGCTTTGCCCGAAGTGTTGAGGGATTTGCCCGAGCCTAAGCTCTTGCCTGACCTGTCTTGCCTAAGCTAGAGCCCGAGTTTTTCCAAAGAAATTGGGCTTGTCTTGGGTTACCCAATTTCAACCCTAAAATTATCTCAAGGCGAGTATTGAGTAGTTCCTAAGAAGCACGGACATTTCTAAGAAGGTGGTGTATCCATGTTGGACACCAACACTCGTTGGACACTTCTCGCTGTGTCTGGCACTTGTCAAAATGTGTCCTATTTTTTAAAATTTTTTTTAGATCCGAACACTCTTCGGACACTTGGAGGACACACGTGCCCATTGCTTAAACACACGTGTCCACTTATTGCATACATATGAAACTAATTATAAGTTTGAACTAAATAATTTAGGATATAATAATAAACAAAAAAAAAATATAAATTAATAAAATAAGTGTTATATTACATTTTTTTAATTATCTTTGAATGATATATTTATCTATATGACATATAATAAATATATAAAATGTAAGAAAAATTGATGTATATTATTGATTGATGTATTGATATTTTCTGTCTATTACAAATGGTTCCTTATATAGATGTAGGTGTAGGTGTAGTGGGTTAGGTTTAGTGGAGTAGGTGAGGTGGTAGTGGTGTAGTGGGTTAGGTTTAGTGGAGTAGGTGAGGTGGTAGTGGTGGTAGGTTTATTGATAAATTTTAACATAAAATTATATATTTTGTGTCGTGTCATGCATATTTTTAAAATTGGCATGTCAGCGTGTCCGTGTCGTGTTGCATGTCCATGTCCGCGCTTCTTAGAGTATTTCTAAACAAATGGATTGCAATTTCTAGAAATAGAGAGAGGAAAAAAAAAAACCCTCAAATGATACAACACATGGAACATAAAAAGAAAATTTGTTTTAGTTGTGTACCAAGTAGGACAATTGATTCAATTGTATTCTAAGTTAATTCAACAATGGGAACATACTCATTATTGAGGGGAACATTTTTATGGAAAGACAGTTTTTCAAGACACTGTTATGCAAAGCAACCTCTGTTATTTTTCAGTTTAAAACTGACATGAATCTTTTAATTTAAGTGATTCAATTCACAAACTAACAAATTAAGTACACAGCATAATATCCAAAGAGCACAATCACAAGAGAGAACAATTGTAAAGGGGAAAACCCAAAATTGGGAACGAACCATGATCTAACCTACTAATAATGATTACCACTTACAAGATTATTACTCAAATATTTTACTTGCTCAAGTCACATGAGCACCCCAATAGTCCAATCTTTAACCACGTTATTAGTGAACTTCTACAATCTTTATCAGCAGTTTCGAACATGAACTTTTTTTTGGTGAATATTTTGAACACAATCAGCTAGACCACGAAATTGCCCTAAATCTGTGTGAATGTTATTCCCTTACGCAAATTGATCTAGCAACCAGCAAAAATCAACCTCGACCTTTTGAAAGATTTGAGAAGGATATAGACTAAAATGCTCTCTTACATCTTCCAAGACTATCTATGTTAGCCTTGGGAGATTTAAGAGAAGCCTTTGTTTCAATAACTTGTAATCAATATTTGGAAACAAACTGGTCCCACTTATATTCTTCATTTGTATTATACTAAACTTTATACAAGTGATGTGAAGTAGCTAAAAGTTCTACTTCGAGTTGTCCAGATTATGGAATGACAGTGATTCATTGTGCAGGCTATTTTCAAGCCTCCGAAGGCAATTCGTGGTGGTATTCCTATATGCTTTCCTCAAGTGTGTGCTACTTAACCTTTCCCTTCTTTATTTTCTTTGGTTGCATTCATCTTGGTCAAGGAAACATGCTCTGTTTATGCAGTTTTCAAATCATGGCTCTCTTGAGCAACATGGGTTTGCTAGAAACAGGTTTTGGAGCATTGATACTGATCCACCTCCTTTTCCGACAAATTCCTCCAGTAAGGCTTTTGTTGATTTGATCCTTAAGCCCTCTGAAGAAGATTTGAAGATCTGGCCTCACAGGTACAGTTTGAGAACTTTCTAATTTTCTTGTGTGAGTTGAAAATGCGGCTAAATCCACTGTGTTCTTTAATTGCCTAATTTATTTTTGTATTCATGTCCAACACTCTTATATTGAGTGGATAAGCAAAAAGGGAGCGGACTTTAGCTGGTCCTTTTTTAAAGTCACGCCAATCTTTTTTTGCTTTTCTTGTTACTTTCAACTTGAATTTTTATAATCAAGTTTTGGTAGTAATTTCTACTTCTTACTTCACTATCTTTTTGTTCTCTTGTAGTTTTGAGTTTCGGTTGAGGGTGACCTTGGGACCTGGAGGAGATTTGATGTTGACATCGCGCATCAGAAATACCAACGTTGAAGGAAAACCTTTTACTTTCACATTTGCATATCATACCTATTTCTCTGTTTCAGACATCAGGTATGTACTGAAGTTGATTTGGCTTGCTTTCACTTCAATTAATCTGCTATGTGATAATTGTGGCCTCTTTCATTCCTTAGTTGATGCTTCTATTAATATTTCTTTTTGTCAGATTGTTTGTCATCCATACCCTTAATCTTTCTCGAATATGAAGTCACCTTCCTTCTTCCATCTATGAGCAAGTTTCATTTAGGTTATAAATGTTTTTTTCATGGGGATATATACAAGAGTTCCAATGTAATGTTACTATTGATTGTCATGTTGATGTTGATGTTGGTTTTGAGAAGTGGCTTTAAAATCTCATAATTGATATAAAGGGGTAGAATGATGACTTGGGTACGATCAATGGCTGTTATATTGCGTGGTATCTTTTGCCAACCTCAACATAGAGGTGCAAGGTTGAGTCTTGGATGGACAAAGGTGTTTGCATCTTACTTGTCAAAAAGAGAATAAATAAAGAAAAGGGTCTTGGGTATGGGTTTAGATGAAATACAAAAGACATCAATCGATGATAACTCATCATCTACTGAATAGAACAAATGCTATATTATGTCATGGTATATTGCTCGAAGATATTTGTGTTGAACCGTTGATATGTACCTAGTTTTTTTTGTTTTTTTTGAGCGATATACCATGACAAGGAATAAAAAGGTCCAAACAAAAATATTTTATTAAAAAGATATAAACAAGGAAAGAGGACAAGAAATTTGACCCCTATTTGGAGAAGAATGAAAATAATTGTATTGGTTTACCTTTGAATGAGGTAGAGCCATGTATATATGATGAATTTATATTACAAACAAGGAAATAAAACTATCAAGGCACTAAATTCGTGATTCATACAATCACGGATTTTACACATACTACTATTAACAAAATATTCTATTTTCCTAATTCAACATATTCTAATTTCCTAATTCAACACTCTCCCTCAAGCTGGTGTGAAGACATTCAACAAACGCAGCTTGGCAATGGATGACTGGAGCAAAGTCGGTTCCACAAATTTTGTGAACATGTTTGCTAATTGCCGAGAAGAAGAGACAAATGATGGACTCACAATACTAGTTCGAACCTTTTCTCTAATAAATTGTATATCAACTTCGATATGCTTGGTACGCTCATGAAGTACAAAATTAGAGGATAACATTATAGCATATTTGTTGTCTCAAAATAAAGAGGAAAGAGTAGTATCCTCAAAAACTAACTCTGCTAAAATAGAGTGAAGCCATAGAATCTTTACATGTTCCTTGTGCCATAGCTCGATACTCAGCCTCTGCAGAAGACCTAGAATAACTGCCTACTTCTCACTTTTTCATGATATAAGATGGTCACCATAGAAAGTACAAAAGCTAGAAGTAGAACGCCGATTAGTCCTATATCATGCATAGTCAGTATTAGTGAAATAGGAGAGCCCAGATTGAGGACCAGTTGTGAAGAACAATTCCAAGCCAAGAGAAGTCTTTAAGTATCTCAAAATGTGATGTATTGTGCCAAGGTGCTTTGTATGGGGTGCATGCATAAACTGACTCACAACACTAACTGCAAATGTCAAGTTAGGTTTAGTGTTGGTTAGATAAATGAGGCGTCCAACAAGATGCTGATACATGCTTGGGTCATCTAGTAACTTACCAGACTCTGATATGAGCTTGACATTAGGATCCATAGGAGTAGAAGCAGGTTTACACCCTAACATATTAGTATCCTTAAGCAAGTCAAGAGTGTACTTCCTTTGAGACAAGGAAATCCCTTGTCTTGAGCGAGCCACCTTAATTTCCAAAAAATATTTGAGATATTCCATATCCTTGATATCAAAAGTTTGGCCAAAGTCCTTCTTTACTTGTTTAATTTCGACAGAGTCATCGCCTATGAGAATAATGTCATCCACACAAACCAACAACATATACACTGATCCACAGAATTACGACAAATGAATAAAATATAATCTAAGTGGCACTGAACAAAATCCATGGAGATGATGAAAGAACTGAAATGATCAAACCATGCTCATGGAGACTGTTTCAATCCATACAAAGACTTGTGTAACCGACAAACCTTCCTTGAATACTCCCTCTCAACCTGAAAATCAAGTGGAGGAGCCATGTAAATCGTCTCAAGAAGATCCCCATGAAGAAACGCATTCTTGACATCAAGCTAATGAAGAGGCCAAGAATGTGATGCCGCAAGGGAGATAAGGAGACGTACAAAAGTAAGCTTGGCGACAGGGGTGAAAGTGGCTCCAAAATCCTTGCCAAGAATCTGTGTAAAACTCTTGGCAACCAACTGGGCTTTGTAACGGTCAATTGAGCCATCAACGAGTGAACACCCATTTGCGACCAACAATGCTTTCCATAGGAAGTAAAGGTACAAGATCCCAAGTGTGATTCTGTTCTGAAGCTGCCATCTTAGTTTGCATAATCGTTACCCATTTTAGATTCTAAAGGCCCTTTGACACAGAATGATGAATGGACTCCAACTTTGTCATAGAAAAGATACTGGGAAATGGGATAATTAGTACTACTCAAATAACCCTATCGATTTGGAGGATGCCAATCTCGAGGTGGTTATGACGAGGAGGTAGAGGAGATGTAGCTAAAGGAGAAGAATTACCTAACCTAGAGATCGGAGAGGTGGCAGGGGGTAGTTGAGAGTGTGGGTGACGAGAGTATACCTGTAATAGGGAGAAGGAGGCGAAGGTGGAGAATGAGGAAGGGGGACAACTTCATGCGTAACGACGTCGAAAATAAGAACCGGGTGAACACTGGAAGTAACGGGAGTGGAAGCGTGCAAAGGAGGGTTAGTATAAAAAAAAAGATGATCATCACAAAAAGTGACATCCAAAGTGTGGTGAAAATGACAAGACACATGATCAAAACACCTATACCCTTTCGACATGACCCTTAAGAAGACAACGAATAGCTGTGTTATCTAACTTAGTACAAGAGGGACTCTGATCTTGAACAAAACAAGTACACCCAGAGACACATGGTAGGAGATGAAATCGAGTGGTGTTGGGCATAAGGGATTAAGACCATGCAACACATGACTACTTGTCCTATTAATCAAATAAATAGTTGTGAGGACAACCATTTGCCCATAAGACTTGGGGACACTCATACCTCAAAGGAGACACCACACAACATATATGATATGATGGTTTTTACGTTCAATAACACCATTTTGCTCAAGGGTCTGAGGACACATAAATTTTTGAAGGATACCGGTTTGATTATGATAGGACTGAAATTCATTGGAAATATATGCCCCACCATTATTAGAACGGATCTTTCTAACAACTATATGAAATTGAGTCTTAACCATTTGCAAAAAATGAACAAAAATGGAAAATATATCAGACTTACGGTGAAGCAAATAAACCCAAGTGCATCTAGTGTGATCATCAATGAATGTTATGTAATATCTATGATCAAAAAAAGCAGTGGCAGGAGAAGGACTCCAAACATCAGAATGTATAAGATAAAAAACACTAGGAGCACGAGTCATATGAGGTATATAACTAGTACAAGTATGTTTAGATAACTCACAAATCACATAATAAAATTTGAATCTTTGCAAGCTTTATTTAATAACGGAAAAAGTTAACATAAGTATTGAAAGTTGACATGACCCATACGGGCATGCCATAATTCTGAAGTTTGAACATTAAAAACACAAGATATCGAAGTAGGCAAAATATACGCCTAAAAACTAGCTAAAGTAGGAAAAGACAGTTAGTCCGGTGGATCTCCAAAATAGTAAAGCCCATCATGCTCATAGCCCCTGCCAAAAGACACGAAGAAGGTAAGAAGATGACAACACAATTAAAGGTTTTGGCAAGTCGATTGATAGATAATGGATTATATGCGAAAGTAGGAACATGCAAAATAGACGACAGATTAATATCAGGAGATAAAGACACCACACTCTTATGACTAACAAAGGAGGAAAAGCCATCAACAAGACAAACAGATTGGGCAACAGTAGTAAAGCCTGGAGAAGAAAGAAAGGAAAACCCACCTGCCATATGATCATTAGCCCTTGAATCTAGAACCTAGGAAGGACTAGCAGACCGAACATGAAAAACAGTAGAAGTACCTATAGCAAGGGTGGCAGTAGTGGAAGAAGATGGGCCATGAGAACTAGTAGTGAGGAATCCCAACTAAGCTTGAAGCTGACTAATTTGAGTCTGTGACTTCTGTATGCGAGGGATATTAGGAATCTCAGGAGCAGGAGTAGCCTCTACTAAAGTAGCAGTGTGAGGGGTGCTGGTACCACACGTGTGAGAGGAACATTGCCTTAACTAATGATGAAGTTTGAAGCAACGAGTCTTAACATGTTCAGTAGCACCACAATGATGACAAGTAACTGGACTAGTAGGACCCCGAGAACTAGACTTGGCAGTAAGAGCCATCTGATCAGATGAAACCAAAGACACTGGAGGAGGGCTTGGCTGAACCAAACACCGATGGCACTCAGCCCTGTTAATGGTGGCAAAGGCCTCATAGAGAGATGGCATAGGTGATGTGTTTAAAATTTGAATTTGAAGATACTCAAATTTAAGGTTTAAACCCATTAGAAATTGGTAATGTGCTGCCGGGCAAGTCGCTTGGACACAAGAGAGGCGGTTTCGGTGGGTAACTTAGTCAAGGGCTCATATTGGGCTAACTCTTCCCAACGGGCATCCAAAGAACTCCACTACAAAAAGTCCCAATGTAAACTGAGAGTCTGAGAGGCACGTGCAATATCCTAATAAGGTTTAAAGATATGAGTATGAGCATACATATGTGTCAATGCATTCCGTAAGCTTGGAACAGTGTCACAGTAGAGGAACATATGGTAAATCCGGTCCTCCATGGAATTGAACATCCAACCAAGGATATTATAGTTATCAATATCCCATTGGCTATGAGTAGGATTGGTGGCTGCCGACTGTAGTAGTAGTAGTAGGTAAAAGCCAAAGCCAATGAGCCCCCCCTCCTAAATAGAGTTTAAGGGAATGACTC